TCGACCGTTACAAAATTTCCAAGGCACACCACAATCTCTCGGGTGCTCTCCGGCGACGCCTAGCCGTCTAGGACCGAACAGTGCAAGAGTAACAAATGCAAATCACAAGATTGACAATATGCACAAGTGCTTAAGTGGTTGGATTCCTCTCCTTTTGAATTTCACTCAACCCACAATTTGATTTGGCAAATTTGATGAATCACTCACTAAGAGAGGGTTGGGAGAGTTGGCAAGGCTAAAAAACGTGTATGTGTATCAACAGAATCAGCAGCCTCCAAAGGTGGAGGCTTGGGTGTATTTATAGCCCCCTTGGAAAAACTAGCTGTTTTATAGCCGTTGTCATACCGGACACATCCGGTATGACTTACACTGCTCCAACGGTAACTAAGTTACAGTGATGTTGTGAGGCATCGGAACTCCCGATGAATGTCGGAACTTTCGACCGTCGGAACTCCTGACTCACGTCGGAACTCCCGACCCTCAGCACATTTGAAAAACATGGTAACCGAGTTAAAGTATGTGAGGTGTCGGAACTCCCGACGCATGCCGGAACTTCTGACCATCGGAACTCATGACCCTCAAGGCATTTGAAAACTAGCCGTTGGCCTCTGGCCGTCCATACCGGACGGTATGACCAAGACAGTGAACACTCTAAGTCAGTTAAGCATGAGACGTCGGAACTCCGACCATTGCCGGAACTCCCGACGAAACAACCCGAGAACAACAAGAATTTTATCGTGGCTGGGCACATACCGGACACGTCCGGTATCAATTGCCAGACCAGCAAAAAATCAGTTAGCTCTTTTGTCTCTCAAACACTCAAAACTCACATGGGTTGGCATAAGCACTTATGAATGATTATCAATCAACATGATGCATCCCTCTTAATAGTACGGCATTCCTATTAACTCAAACTTTAAAAGTATAACGAATTTAAACCTTTTGAGTTGATCTCTTTCAACCGAAGCCGTGTATTCCAATCTTCATCAAGTGAGGGTGCTAACATGTTAATATTGATCTTTTCACTTGAGCATAGCCATCTTGAGCACGTGACTTGATTCCATTCATCAAATTTGAATAATCCCAAATGTATCAAGTCACATCCATCAAACACTCCAATAGTGATTTGATCCTCCACATTAACATGACCATCATAGCTTGATTAGTACCTCAACTAAATGCAAGTATTTCCGTCTTCACCCTAGCTAGATTCTTCGACCGCCAAGCCGTCGCTTGCCCTTCACCCTTGCTTAGTACCTCAAAGTCTTTTCTTGCTATCTTCACCATCTCAAGCCATCAAGTCACATCTTGTGTTGAATCATCCATTCATTTGTATTGTTATCTTTTTTATTTCAATTTAACAAGCTTCAAATATGAGACCATTTCATATGCGATCCCTCATGTCTCATTAATTAATTCTTACTAGCTTGCTTTCACATAGTATATGGAAATCCTATAATAAAGAAGCCTTTGTATGAATTACATTTGCATTGTTGTCTTGTGCTTGAACTAGATTGTTTATACAACAACACATCATTTTGGCTTTCATTAAGTACCTATAAGATAACCTATTACCTGTCCACACTTAGCAAACGGGTTAGACATTTAATCACATTGTCATTCAATCATCCAAAACCCACTAAAGGGCTAGATGCACTTTCACAGTGGATTAGGCAAGTGACTGGAAAGCCTTGCCCACATGCATTGACTGTAATCACAACCCTGAGGCAACCCAATATGGACATGTATGTGCACAACTACTACTCAGTTGAGAAGTTCCAGGCTGCATACCGTGGGATCATTCCCAACATAACAGATAGAGGACAATGGCTAGAGGTGGACAAGGGCTTCAAGTTGTTCCCACCAAATATGAAGAAGAGAGACCCAGGCAGACAGAAGAAGAAAAGGCATCTGGCTCCATCTGAGAGAAGTGGTAAAGCAAGAAGACATGTCAAGTGCCCTGGATGTGGTGAGTATGGCCACAGGTCTAAAAGCTAGAGGTGTTCCCTGACTGGCACCAAAAAAAGATAATGTACTACCCCTACTGTTAGCTACAATTCTAACTGTTAACCACTGACCCTAACAACTACATTACAGGAAAAGAACTAAAAAGTCAGCCCCTAAACCTAGAAGGAAGAAGAGCCAGACAAATCCTACCCATAGTGGAGGAAATACAACAAGAACAAGGACAGTAGTGCCTAAAGAAGCAGCAGCTAAGGCAACAAGGGAGGCTCTAGAAGCTACAGCTAAAGCTTCTGTAGCAGCTAAAGCTACAACTGCTGCAGAGAGAGAAGTCCTAGATATGGCGCCAATTGAGGTTGAGCATGCACCACCTTCAACCACTGCAGCAACTAGAAGGTATGCCCTACTTCAAAATACATGCTTGACCAAAACTTACTGATGCCATTCTGATAACATGTCTTGCATTCAACGGGAATCTCTGCTGGGATCTATAAGTTGTGAATGAGGTAGATGAAACAGCAAGTGCATCTGTGGACCCACCACCTAAGAAAATGACTCCAAGGAAGAAACAGCTGGCTACAAAGGTGAGGAAGAGCCCAGCCAACAAAAAGAAAAAATGAGAGCACCATCAAGGACAAATTCATTTAGATTGTAAAGGCTCAAAAATTGTCTCTTTTGTGTAACTAAGGCCTTCTGTTGGCCAGAACATGGATATGTATGTGGCCAAAAACAATGTACGTGGCCAGCTCAGTGTGTGTGGCCAGAATAATGTGTGTGGCAAAACTTTGTGTGTTTCATGTCATTGGATTTAGTACCGCTGGTTAATGTCATTTAATGAATGTGTTTCATCTCATCATTGTGTTTGACCTTATTTGGTTCATACTAGCTGGTTACTTTGTATGATGAGTTATGGTTAATGGTTTGTGTACTGCTGCTATGTTTTGATATGCCCAAAATCTAGCACTAAACACACATTCAACCAGAAATTTCATTTTCATTCAAGCACATTTTGCATTTCCATTCATCTGTACATTGTCACTTTATTACACCATACATCGGTACAGATCCTAATGCGGTGGTTTACACTGCGGCGATGGCGGCGGTGACGGGCGGGCGTTGCACGGAGCAGAGAAAGACGGAGGAGGGAGGGAGAGTAGTGCGCCGGGCCACGCGGGGAGGATAAAGACGCCAGGGGCAGGGAAGGTCTTTTTATCTGAGCCTGCTAACTCGGATCCGAGCTGGACAGCGAAGCTAGCGAGTTACGCGAGCAAAAGTGATAAATATGTATTATTTTTCTCTTTTTACTGCTAAAAAAGTAGCGCTAAAACTGTTATTTGAGGAGGAGCCGTCCGTTACGGTGAAAAAAAATTAAATATCCCCCTATCGTGCTACTGGCGCCAAAGGTAAAATGTCGTACACCATCCTTGAGCTTTGAGCTTGACACCCGGTGGAGCAAATGATTCACTGCTGTGTCACTGTGGGCTAGGGATGGATCCATCAACCTATGCCATGATGCAGAACATGCGGGCAGAGAAGGCGGCCGCCGAGGCGGCGGCAGCGGCGAAGGTCGCCGTGAAGAGTGAGCCCGGCTGCAGCGCTCCGCCGGCGGCGGAGAACAACACAAAGGAGGCCACTGGTCACGGGTGGGTGTCTGTCCCGCCCGGCTTCTCCACGCGCCAAAAACGAAAGCTGCAGCACGCCCCGGACAGACATGACGGCGACACGGTCGGGTGGGAGGCGGCGCGGCAGCTTCTGCAGGGCGTCATCACGCCGGCGCGGGAGCGCTCGTTCTTGGTGGCGGATCCTTCTCCGTCATCGCGACGAGCTACATCGCGACGCTCCAGGTTCGATCCTGATCCTTGGCGGCGCCTCGCGGCGTGGGTGCACGTAGTAATGCAGGCGGCGAACTACGCGACGTGCTCGTTGGGGCACGCGCTGAAGCTCCAGGAGGAGCTGGAGAAAGCCAAAGGCGGCGGCGGTGGAGGAGGCACTCAAGGGGGTATGAGCGGGGCATGGAGGACATGAAGTGCGTCGCGCTGCGGCTCCGCCCTGACATCGACGCGGCTCAGCTGTTCGTGCCTCCTGGCGGGTTTCAGTAGCTGTGCCGTTTGGACGAACTAATTGCAGTGAAACTTCTGTAAATTTCTATAGTAGCTAGCAGGCTCCCCAGCCACCTTGACATGGCGATGATCTGTTTTGAACCAAATGCCCAGTAGGTTGAATTCCAAACGGTGTGGATCCAGCTTTCGTTGTAATGCTACTGCTGCTTCGTTAAAATACTCGGTCTATGTTCGTGCTATGTTGAACTTCTCAAACGACCATGTTAATAGAACATATATATATTATGCTGAATTTAGTGTAACTAAGTTGATGCTGCACAAAGTTACATAAATGTGAACAAAAACAGCTTGCATTTTAGAAAAAAAAAATAGAGTAGATCGTTGTCTTCTCTTTTGTTTCTACGGGATTCCTTCAATTTGTTTCTATCTGAACTCCAAGAGCAGATCGTTGTCTTCTCTTCTATTGCTTGCCCTTCAGTGAAATTTATGTTTTTCAGTCTTTTATAAGTTGACTATAGTCAACAGTGGGATATAAGGGTAGAAATTTGCCCAAAAAATTTGCTATGTATGGGATATTCGATTTTGTGATGGCAAATCAGAGATACGAAGATTTTTGCAATGGTATGAGGGCAATTTCCTGTTCTGCAATGAAGAAATATCGGAAGCAAACAACGATGCCAACACATGAAACACTTTTAACTTAGGAATTGGGAGGCAAATACCATCCCCATTTGGCAACTAGCTAAATGGCGGACAGATTCATCACAATTTTCTCAGGTTACAGGCTTACAGCTTGCGAGCTGAGAAGATTTATATGCACACACTGACACTTATAATATATTGGTAAAAAGATCATTTATCCTTTCCCACTATCACTAACGCCACCTGCACGTCCACATTTACAAACCAGGTGAAGTGTGGGAAACATGGAAGAAAATAGAAGGATAAACAGACCTGAGATCGCAAAGATCTCAATTACTAACTGTCAAGTATATCAAACTCCGAGTCTTCAATGACATCCCATGATTCCTTCTTTGACAGTGATACAGGTGGAGTTGGCTGTGGAGGCCGATGGCTGGATGAAGCAGGTTTTCGTCTGACTGAATCCTGGCGCACTGAGGAGCTAGCATAGGGGAGGTGCCTCCGGTCAGAGAGAAGTGAATCCATGTATTTGTCCATGACAACGACGTTGGCACTATCAACGTCGCTCAGCTCCTCGCTACTGAGGTATCTTTTACCTTCTCTGTAGGATTCCACATCTGAAGGTATTTCAGACCACTGATCCATGCTTTCCTCAGATTTCGACTTTGCAAATACCCATTGGTCAATGCTTCGCTCGGATCTTGTCTTGGGCAAAGCACGGCCATCCGAAGATTGATACCCTTCTTGGTTGCTTTTTACACTTTCTATCTCACAGACGTGAGGTGGAGAATCTGACTCTATCTCATTGTTGTGATGTACAGAATTTGGCACGCTCTGGGTATCTTCCTGCACGAAGAATTAATAATTACTAATTAGTAAAAAGATTAATAAGGATACATTATCGTATCATATAACACATAACTCAATTTATTAGTTCGTTTTTTCAGAGATGCTGCTTTGTGGAGAAGCTTAAAGATGATCTTATTAAGCCCAAAGATCATTCATCATTGACAACATATTCAGCACTCCAGTGTCCAGTCTACATTAGGGCAAAATGGGGAAACTGCCTCCAGAGGATAGTCAAAATAGCAACTAATAACAGTAAGATATGGAAGTCTAGACACTATTGGCAATGTGCATGGTGCTTGGTTGCTTCCCTAGCCTGGGGGCTGCTGGCCAGGCAGCTTGATCAACCCTAGGCGTTGGAAATTATAACACCTGCGAATGCTGCGTGGGCCAAACATGTTTCCCAGGTCAGCAAGCAAACAAGCACGTACCAACATAGTGAATCCATAGGATGTAAGGTAGCAACCGATTTTGTAATCTGACAAAATGCAAGATTTAATACTGGTCTTGCATACAGGCACTGATGAGAGATGACTATCATACGCAAATACTTTCTCCGGTCATAAAAACATGTTTGGGACAATATTTAGTCAAACCTTTAAAACTACAAACATCAATAAATTTTAAATTATTTTGTTTCAAATCATGCAAGTTTATGGTGTAGAATTGTATTGAAAATACTTGTTAGTTAAATCTCATAAAGTTGAAGGGTTCTGAGAATATAAAAGGGGGCAGACCCAGTGCCGGAGGCTCCCACATGAGTGGGGTCTGGGGAAGGGAAAAACCGAGGCAAGCCTTCCCCCTGCAAAATCTGCGGAGAGGCTGCTTTGAACCCGCGACCTGGAGTGAGACAGCTCTCACCACTGCACCAGGTTCTGAGAATATATTCTAGAAAATAATTCAGTGGTCAAAGATATTGTAGATCAAAGACCGTGCAAATTCTGGTACAAATTCACACTTCACCTAATGAGATACCAGTTCCTATAAAGGAAAATTCTATACATTTAATTTCATTTCTGTTGCATTCCTAGTGCATACGGAAGATTAAGATTTTCAGCTGTAAACTCAGTGGTGCAATCCATGTTTTATAAGGCAACAAAACATTCTGTATGTATAATGAAGAACAAAATATATTAGAATGACTGCAATGGGATTCACATTTCCAATCGGTTCAGCAACATTGTTTCAGTGCATAGTGCACACAATCTATTCTTCTAGCACTGCTATAGCAAAAACATTTATACAATTTATGGAGTACCTCATGTTATCAATATCTGCTGACCTATTTTGTATCCTTAAAATACTAGTATTTGCTTGCTGAAATAAGATGACATTTGATTGATGACACAAACTGTTACTTAGGCACTGATATTGTTTGTGTTAGTTCTGCAATGCATAAATAAAATCCATCTCGAAATGGATCACACCAATGTATGATCAAATCTTTGCAGCCAAACTAGAAGCTGAAGTGCTGAACGATATAGATACCCAACAAGCTCAAAGATATGCAAACTGTTTGGGCAGCCTAACCTAGCATGATTCCAGAATTCATAGTGATCTGCTACATATAACGACTTGTGATGCCATAAATGTGATTTTTAAGTCAACAGAATCCGCTGAAAATAAGAGTTTTTCTAGTAATTTATGCTTCTCTAGAAGTTGGGATTTTCTGTAATAATAAATTAATAATATCAATTATTCCCTTCATTCCAAATTTGTGACATTTTGGCTTTTCTAGATACATAGCTTTTGCTATGCACTTAGATATACACTGTGTTAGATACATAGTAAAAGCAATGTATCTAGAAAAGCCAAAACATCTTATCTTATAATTTGGAATGGAGGGAGTAGTAATTTCGAACATGCATAGTATTTTGAACCCCGTTTGACGTAGAGGTTTCCCATATTATAGAAAGAAGTATGGCTTAATAAATACATGAAATGTACAAGGAAAAGAAAACTAGTATAAATGTGCTTCGTGCTCACTTTGCTAACAGGCTATGCTATGATGACATCTCAGTTTCAAGACCACATAAGTTTCATTCAAACTAAAACTAGTATATAAAATGCGGTCTACCATCAAAATTCAAATGTATGCTACAAGAGAGTGCTGCACAAAAAATGAATATACCTCAGAACTATGCTCAATTATGTTCGACTCAAGCAACCTAAAGTAAATCTTCCAGAATATGTCTTCATCCATGTAAGAAGGGCAGAGCCTACCCCGTAGAGATGCTAAATCTGGGACAAGTTTTTCAATGGATTCCATATGATCTCTTTGGATATCAGAGATTACAGAATCTGCAAAAAGAATAAAACAACATCATGGTATGACTAAAATAGTCACACACAAAAAAGACATTAATAGAAGTAGAGACAAAAATGCATAGCACAGAAGAATAAAAGCCACAAATAATACTTCTAAACGGGAGCTAAGTAAAACAACTCACAGTACTAAGCCTGTATTTTTCAAGATTTCAGTCATGATCATGCCATACATAATTGATCCAAGGAGTAGGGAAGAAAAACTTGACCAAGTATTGCACAGAAAAAAACAACGCATCTTGTCATCTATTTTCAAACGTCAAGCAATTTACTAAATATAGTTGCTTATGTAAAAAGTACCTCTTATACAGATGTAGAACAGTACACCATTCTTCAAAATCCATAAATGCATCTCATTTATACTAACTCTTGTGTGTATTTAATATAATAGGAAGTCAAATCTATAATAATGAATACCACATGGAAGATGGAACAAAAGTACAAAACAAAATCATGACTTCACGAGACCTGTACTCAGCAGCAATACAGCATACAGGACAAACACTCCCAACATCCAAGCATAGTACGTACATAATAAGAGTCTCCACTTTGTTTCAGCCTATTCCAGGCAACTTCATAGTCAATCAAATGAGCTAAAAAACCAAATAACACACTGAACAGCTGTAAAACCCCGAAATTTAAAGCTGGAAACATTGGATATTTTTTTTCTATTCGTCCTCTGATCATCACATCCATCAATGCTCTCAAAGTAATAACTTGTTACACATGCACTCGCATGCCATTATCCTACGACGAGCACTAATCTTAAACATCCCGAGTACTATCTGAGTGCCTAATTAAGTTCCCTCTGCTCTCAATTCCACTAAAATCTACTGTGTGGAGTAACAACTAACAACCCCCATACCAGCAACCTCTACACCCGCCCCAGGAAACCACTCCACAGGAAGCACCAGCACAGGCGCAATCTGCGTAGGCAGATGCCAATATTTGCAGAAGTAGCAACAATCGTGTAGGTGTCAGAAATCGAGAAAAGATAATTACCCTCATCTAGGGCGAGCACGGGGAAGTCGATCCACGCCTCGGGGCGCGCGGCGAGGGCACGCGCAGCTCCCACGACATCATCTACGATCGGCGCGGCAGCAGCAGGCGAAGGCGGGGATGCGGCGGCCTGCTGCGACTCGAGCGCGGCGGGGGCGGGACGGTCGGGCGGCGGCGGCGAGGACGGGGCCGCGGCGGCGCGGGAGAAGCCGCCGCGGAAGGAGCCGCCGATCTCGGCGAGGTCGGAGAGGATGCCCGCGAGGAGCGACGGGGACGGCGGGTGCGGGGACGGGGAGCGGCGCGCGCGGCGGGGGGGGCCGGGCCCGTCGGGGTGGGCGGCGGGGAGTCGGTGTGCGCCGGGTTGAGGAGCGGGTGCAGGAAGCAGGCGATGTCCAGCAGGTGCCGCCCCAGCTCGGAGAGGTCGTCGCGGACGCCGCGCAGCCCGCGCGCCATCCGCCCGCCGCCGCCTCGCTTTCGCGATTGCTTTGCGGGGTTGCTTCCTTCTCCCTTTGCTTTCGCTGGGGCGGCCTTGGCGTGGTGTGGGGTGAGGTGAGGTGGGCTCGTGGGGTGGGGAAGGCAATGATTGGGACTTGCAGCAGCAGGAGCCGAGAGGAGGTGCCCGACTCGGGAGGTAGAGAGGCTTCCGGTGCCGGTTCCGCACGGCGGCACGGGTTCGAGTTGGGGCCGCGCCCGCCCGCTTGGGGCGGGCCGTTGGTTGGGTGATCGATCGGTGATCGCGCGCGTGTGCCGCTGGGTGCGCGCACACGGACGGACGTGGGTGCGCCGTTCCAGAACGCCAGATGCTGCTGCCGGTGGTTGCGCGATGAGAGAAATAGACAGATCGGCGACCGCTTCCACCGGTGGTTGCGTCAAGGCTCCGTGAAACGGCGGCAGACAAGCGCACGCCAAGGGGAAAGACATGGCCACACACTAACTAGCACTAGCGCCAGCAAAAGCATGGAGCAACTTTCTGGCTTCATAATGACATGTCGATCAAAACCGTCCTGTTTCATTCGATCGCACAAAGTCAGCTGCTAAAAAGAATGCCTGCATTATTCAACCGTATCCAGTGTATGTTCACCAAGAATAATCCAATATATCTCAATCTCGACTCTCAACTGCACATGAACAGGTGACCAAACTCTACGCGTATAATATACATACAATCACCTCCTACGTACGGGACACCACTGACGACTGACCCCTGCTTGCTATACACTCCAACCGACGCTATGATATACTCTCTACCTGTGTCTGTGTCTGTGCTACAAATTTCCTTCTCACAATGGCAACAAGAAAACGGGCAAAAAGAATGAATGATGTGGTAACAGCAGCGCTAACGCAACCAAGAAATTGACCGCCGGACCGGGCGTGGGTACTAGTAGATTAGATCAGCCCCGTGTAGACGTTGCCGGGGCCGGCATGGAGCGGCATGCCGGCGGCGCCGTAGGGGTGCGCGCCGGCGGCCGCGAAGGGGTTGCCGAACGGGTTCGCGGGGTTCTGTTGCATCTGCATCTGCATCGGGTGGTGGACCACTGGTGCCGGCGCTGGGGCCATCGTCATCATCTGATGCTGCTGCAGCATGAAGGCCTGCTGCTGCTGCGCCATCGCCGCCATCTGCACGCCGTGCGGCGCCGCGTACCCGTTCGAGGCGTAGAACGGGTCGTGCATCGCCGGCGCCATCGTCAGCATCGGGGCAGCCGTGGCGGGGGTCGCCTCCCAGGGGTTGTAGCTTGACGGCTGGCTCGCTCTCCGGTTCGCCTCGTCGTAGAGGCTGTCAAGGGTCAGCAAGTCCAGACCACCGGCCTGCACACAGTTTCAAATTTCAGTAAGCAAACAATGATGAGCAACCTGCCAATTCCTGTCTGGAAAATGCTGAATTTACGAGATAAAAGTGGTTCAGCAACCTACCAGTTTCTTGCTTGGGGCAACGGCGGTCTCATTTGAACTTGGTGCTGTCACAAGGGCCAGTTCCCAGCCTGTGACTCCATTTTCAAAGGTAGGAGCAGCTTTTGGAACATCATCTGCCACAGTAAGCCAGAGTAAGCAGCATGCCTCTCAGTTAACCAATTTCATGGTGCCACTAGCTTTCATTCATGAGAAATGTACCTATCGGAACAATTGCTAGCGCCAAAGCATTCTGCTCTTCTATCGCGGTCGCAGCAGGGTTCGGTTCGTTCAGACCCTAAAGAGCGAAAAGAGTGTTAGCAGAAAAATGTATGACTAATGGCTGCTTCATAGTAGTAGCAAAGAATGTTACCAGCAAATCCGGTTCAGCTTCTGGTGCTTCCTCTTTCACTGGTTCGGGTTCTGGCTCAGGCTCTTGTTCCGGTTCTGGTTCTGGAACCGGAGGAGGTGAAGCCGGTTTTTCTTCCTCCTCTGGCTCTTTTTTGTATTCTATCGCTAGTACAGCCTGAAACAACTAAAGTACGCTTAGAGACAAGAAGACTGAGTAAGAACTGTATAACAAAATGAACAAGATGGTTGAAGGGCCTCCTGAAAACTTCAAGCTGAATAGTTGATAGCAATGCTATAGTTCAACAGTGTGTGGGGATCATTTACTCAGATGAAAATGGTACTCATGCTTTCTATTTTATTCCTTAGTACTATGCATTAATTTGGAAATCCCAGTATATATTCACATATTTTTTCACATATAAGGTTATTAAAAATGGCATATTTCACAGAGAATTATGCAAAACAACACAGAGCTAATTAGCTTGAATTGTTTCTGAAGTGGATTCATCATCATCAGTTTGTGGGCATACTGATATGCAAATGAAGATAGCTTATTGATGTTCAAACATCCTATCAGTAAGTGAATTACTTCTTGTAATTTCCATACCTTTTCTTTTTGACCTGTCGGAGCATCTCTTACATACTCCTCCATAGTCTGCAGGAATGATGCTGGAGGCTGCAGGAAGTAATTGATAAATTTCATGAGTAAATTGGTAACTTAGGGGACAAAAAACAAACACTTAAAGAATCCAAGGAACATTTATCGAACCTGCTCAATCTTCAGGAATTTCTCACCACGCCCAATGTGTATAGTTTTACACACTTCATAAAATTCTGAAAGTCGTTCAGCCTATGTGACAAAAAAAATTGAAAAGAAACTTAGAAAACCCATCAATATTCAGCCTACACGTTTTCATTTCAACAGTCTCGAGTATTGAATCAATGGCTTATGGCTCAGAATTTAGTTTGGAACATGGATCAGTGCCAGCAGAGCTGGTGATGCTGAAGTGTGAACTGAACATTTTTTTCGCAGTGTTCATATGTCAGTAATCCTCATTCAACAACACAAAGAGAGACTATGGGGGAAGAAGGATGCCTGACTCATGATATTTCCCACTGTCTTCATAGGGAAAGATAAACTAAACAAGGATGAGACCACTAAAAACTTAAATAAGAGCAGTCCCTCCCAGAAAACTGACTGTTTATCCATTTCAAGTATCCTGGTACATAGCTACACTATATCCTCATTGTGCTAATGTGGTCTGGCAAGAATTTTGGAATCATGTGCTGATAAAACCGGATGGAAATAGCCCCAAAAACTAATTTGATGGATCTGCAAGAGAAAAAGGAGTAACAATATACCTGGTTAGTTGCTCTTTTGTATACATCAAGTGCCCTAACAGCATCATTTCTTTGCATCTCAAAGAACTGCAATAAGGAATAACATTTAAGTTTGATGAGAAAAATCAATCAAATAATATAACAATTGTAGGTAGATTTGACAAACTTATCCAAGATTGTAAGCTTAAGAAAGTTCACCTTGTCAACCAGATTGATTGTTCCATCACTAATCGCAGTATAGATCTTAACACTCTCTAAAGCAACCTACCAGTAATGCACAAAAAAAAGTCAATAAACACCAGGGACCAAAGCCCAGTTGTGCACTGCTTAAAAACAAGCACTAAAAGTTAAGAAAGACAGAAACAAAGAACTAGACATTCATACTAACCATTGAGAGTGCATGCTGGATTATAACATTGTAAGACGACGCTCCTTGTGGCTGTAAAATTTCAGGAATTAGCCAATAGAATTGAAAACTTAAATGGTATCACATGAAGACGAACTGGTGTAACTTGTACACACAGTAGTTACAAAAGAGTCATTACCTGGCAAGCAAGAAGCCGAAAAAGGAGTTGCTGCAATGGTGGCAGATGATCAAGCAAAGCAACAGTATCAAGATCCTTGGTCCTCTGCAGATACCAGAATTATCCATGTACTTAGAAATATAGTTGCTGGCATCTAATGTTTCTTGACATAAAATTAAAAAAAAACTTCCATTCCATTCAAGTGGGGAAAACTACTAATCAGCTGCATATATGACAAACAACTGGAACTCTGACAACATTATAAAATCACGAGTTACCAAGGAAAACATGAAGTACAGCAGATCACATAATTTCCTTGGTAAAAAAAAACATCGTTGCATTTCTAACTCCAGAATTTGAAATTTAATTGCTGCAAATAATGGCAACACATTTGTCTTGTGTGCTAGTGGTACCACAAAGTTCACATGGCTATAAGCAGAGATTGACTTTTGGGCATATGCACCATTTATGCATCCACAGACCACAGTTCCTAGATCAGGACAGAACAGACACTATAGTCGTCGCCACACGGCAGTATCTGAAGCAGTGACATTAATATGTAGCTACATGGACTACAACAAATATAAAAATGCAAATGAGATTCAAAAACGTTTCGCAAATGAAGGAGATAAAAGAAGTAAGCTTGCATTAGATTACATACCGGAGGATCTGTTTCTACATCATACTTCAACACCCGGAAACATTCAAGCCTCTCCTCTAAATATAAAGCATAAATGCGCACCCATGCAGAATAGTCCCAAGCTGAATGAAAAAATAGAAATAGAAGAATAAGTTTTAAATCAGAAATTATAATGCAATATACAGTACCAGGATAGCACTAACAACTAGTACCTTCTGCACTAGAGTCATCCTTAAAATAGGCCATGTTCAACATATGGGACCTAGATCTGCCATAATTAATAAGCTCTTCACGAAAAGTGGGATCAACTTCCCGAAGCGCACGATGAATGACAATCAACGTCTTCAGTGCAACCTAATGGATAAAATAATCAGTGCAAAATGTTCATGAGTACTTTGTAACTTCTTTTGTCTCATGGTACCACCCATGAAAAGCATTTAAAATAAGTAGAAGGATTCATGACATTAGTAGTTCAGTAAATAGTATGGCAATGTATAGGATCCATACCGCCCAGTTGCGCGTCTTCGAAAGACGTCTAGCAAGGGCATGAATGCAATAAGCTACATCTGCTCGTGGCCTAGCAGCAGAAATGGAATGGAAAATTTCTGCAAATAAATAAAGATGTTAGTTGTGGCAGCAACAAAAGAGGTTGGACAGTTATTGAAGATTTGAAATAAATCACTGCATAATCAAATACAGTTACATGTTTC